AATTGTGTTGCTAGCACATACAGATGCAAAGCGTGTTAACACCTGGGTAATGCTATTTTCATAAATTAAATAAGGCTGTTACCTAAGCAATTCTTCCACCTCAGCGACAACATCTGCGTCATCTGGTGACTCAGGAGACGTATACCTTCTGTTTACAATTGCATTATGCTCTCTACTGCAGATGTGCTCTTGAAGCTTTGACAGAAAAGCAACTCTAAAGAGAGAGCATGCAGAAAAAGAAAGCATAACCTCATCTTGATTTTGCCTACAGATATCTTACATCACTTAGCCCAATAGTAACATAAGGGTAATGTTCATCAGGCAGGATATCTAGCTTTGGATTGCTCTATGACTTCTCTTCTTAGTTTTCAGGTGGAGAGATGTAGGGATCAGAAGAAATAGTCACAGGTGTGTAAAGGAGCTAGACTTTGTAAGTAAGGATTGAAAGGATATTCATAACTATTGTTTCCTGGCTAATAATAATGGAAAATTCCTTGCTGAGAATAGAGCAATAAGAGAATCTTTCAGTGGATTATTTCATACAAAAATACATATAATTTATGTGCAGAAAACACTCTTTTCTATGTAAAAACTGTTATAGTAAGTCATAGCAGGATCAAGTTTGTGTGTTAAAGAAAAACCTTACGATGTTAATTATTATGTACAGCTGGTAATGTAGATCAGCCAGGAGAGAAGTGATATGCTGCTCTGAAGAAGATGCTATGCTCTAATAGTGATGCTCTTTGCTATGGTGGAATAGCTATTTACTCAAAGTTTATGTTTTGCTCTCATTTGAATGAATATGAAGAAGCCTTATTCTGTGTTGCTTACAAGAACTATGTAAGTTTGTTGCACTGTTTGATTTTGTATGCAACACTGCAAGTTTATTACCTCTGCTGATAAAAGTAAAGTTTCTCTGTTCCATTTTCCTTTTGCTTGTGTGTTTTTTTGCAAATTGGACCTGGCTAAAACACGCTCTGTGTAACAAAAACAACCCCTTGTTTTCTGAACATTTTTTTCTTTCTACATGGAAAGTTATGTCTATTTTTGTGAATAATTCCCCAAAGACTTGCAGGGTATGCATACCTCAAGCATTGTGCGAAAGCCTTAAAAGAAATGGTGTGGAAAACATTTGTCTTTGTACACAAGAATGAAAATATGTGATTATTTACTTCCCTATTTGTAGCCTATCTTCACAATTTCCTAGAGATAGTGTTAATGAAAACATTCCAGCAACATGAACAGCAATTTCATCATTGGTTTAATTATGTTTTTTGTAATGTTTGTAGAGGAATGTGCTAAGGATTTCTTTGCTTTTACAAAAGGAAGACGTGTTTAAAACAGATGGGTGAAAAAAAAATCTAATTTTTCAACAATTATTTCGCATACCAATGTATTTGCCTATTTGAGTGGCAAGTGAAAGCTTCCATCAGCCCTCTCTATGTGTCTTGAATACTGCAACTCATTGGTAACATTAGTATGAATAACAAAGCTAGTTGAGGTGAAGTGAACAACCGCTTATACAGTATTCACAAATGCTTGAATATGAGTCATTGGCAGGAATCATTATGTAGCTTAGGCTGTGTATCCCCAGAAAATGCATGTGAATTAATGGAAGCAGAAATGCTTCCTAATCTTAAATATTAACTCTGACAGAAAAGTCCCAGCTTGAGATGGGCACCTATTTCACTCCACTGCTGTGCGATGAGGTGTTCCCTTTCCTGCTCAGAATGGGTTGCAAGCATGTATTACAAATGATCCTGTTGTGTTGGGACACTCTTGCTCTGAACTTCATTGTTGGAATTTGTAAACCCCCCAGTTGTGCCTTCGGGTTTGCTTACACTATGCATTACCAATTAATGTTTGGTTACTTATTTACTATATTTATACCCCACCCTTCTCACCCTGACGGGGACTCAGAGCAACTTACAAATAGACAACAATCCAATGCCGCATAAACAAAAACATACAAACAAAATAAACATATGCATTAAAACCATAAGATTAAAAACATCTAAACATTAAAACCTATTATTAAAACCACAAAATCCAAAATCATAGGCCAATGTTAGAAGTGACTTTCTTCTTAGAATAGGATAAAGAAAAAACTGCTGCCTGCATCACTACTACTATTGAAGCCTAAGGTAGTATAACTAGAGTATTAGAATGAGACCTGGATTCAAATCTTTTTTAGCCATAAACTTCTGCATAAGCTAAGTCACTCTCTCCAACTAACCTAACTCACAGAAGGAAGCTGGGCAAAGAAGATAATCTTGCATGCTTTTTAGATAATACAAATAGGAGGAAGACCGTAACAGCCATGCATAAGGTAAAAATAAAGGATGGTATAGACCCACATTTCCTTGACATGAATGGCTCTACACTCCTTCAAAAATGCCAGATTCTGAAACAGAAATTATATGAAAAGTTCATCTAAGACACTTGCACAAATATGGTTACTTTAACTGACCAGAAATACTGTATTGCACACATTCTTCATAAAATATACTTGTTTTAAAATGAAATAGCGTGGTATATTAAGGAAAAATGGGTCTGTAAATGCAGAATAGGAAAACGTTGGATTACATTATCATCGTGCCTAATATTAGCGAACACTTGCTACACTGTTAGAAAACAAACCCTTATCTCTAAGAAAAGCAAACAAAAATGCCTATATGACCATATAAAGGAATGCAGCAACAATGAACAATTAACAAACAATGTAAGAGTTCTGTTGTTGAAGGCTTTCATAGCCTGAATCACTGGGTTGCTGTGAGTTTTCCAGGCTGTGTTCCAGAAGCATTCTCTCCTGACATTTCACCCACATCTATGGCAGGCATCCTCAGAGGTTGTGAGGTCTGTTGGAAACTAGGCAAGTAAGGTTTATATATCTGTGGAATGTCCAAGAACTCTTGTCCGCTTGAGGCAAGTGTGAATGTTACAAGTGGCCACCATGATTAGCATTTATTTATTTATTTACAACATTTATATCCCACGCTTCTCACCCCAAAGGTGACTAAGAGCAGCTTACAAGTTATTTGTACATACAATATATTATTAGCATAGCACATTAGTATTATATATTTACTATACTATATTATATATTACTAGATATTACTATAGTATGCCACTATACTGTAATATTATTAGTAATATTGCATGAAATATAATATATATAATTATTATATTGTATTATTATTAGTATATTGCATTACATTAGAATATTATTAATATATGTGTGTACAATATATTATATTATTAGCACAGTGCAATATTAGTATTATATATTACTATATTGTTGCTGGAGGGACTCCCAAGTGATGACTCAGGAGACAGGAGACACAGATTAAGTCTGTCTTCCTGGCTCCTCTTCTTCACTCTGTCCCAAGAGTGACGGTGCTTTAATGGCCTTGTAGCTTCAATACCTCGCAATAAAATAATAAAAGCAAAACCAGTGGTTCCCTACTGAAATTGCCAGAGATTTAAACCCTATTGAAATTTAAGCAATATGGGAAGGTACAGAGAAAAACGGATGACCTGAGGAAGGTGTACCAACAACAACCGCCAAAACAAGGCAATACTACCCGGGATACCTTGTAGTAACCTCTGGGACCTCTTAGAACTCTTCTCTGATACTACTGCAACTTTGTATGTAACAAACAGTCCTCCAAGAAACTCAGGTTGATTTTTTGAACCATCAGACAGACCCTGTCAATATATTGGACCTCTGAACTGCCTTTATGAAAGGGACTGACGTCTCCCACTTTAAATTTTATATAAATACAGGCATTTACTTGTAATAGGGATAAGAACATTTGAATGTTGTATATATAAAAAAAGGGAGCCCCCGGTAGCACAGTGGGTTAAACTGCTGAGTTGCTGAGCTTGTTGACCAAAGGGTCGCAGGTTTGAATCCGGAGAGCGGTATGAGCTTCTGCTATCAGCCCCAGCTGCTTCTTTTTCTCTCTCTTTTTTTTCTGTTTTTTTTTTCTTCTCTTTTTTGTTTTTGTCATGTCAGGAGCGACTTGAGAAACTACAAGTCGCTTCTGGTGTGAGGGAATTGGCTGTCTGCAAGGACATTGCCCAGGGGACGCCCAGATGATTTGATGTTTTTATCATCCTTGTGGGAGGCTTCTCTCATGTCCCTGCATGAGGAGCTGGAGCTGATAGAGAGAGCTCATCCACCTCTCCCCAGATTTGAACCTGCAACCTGTCGTCAGTCCTGCCGGCACAGGGGTTTTACCCACTGCACCACCGGGGGCTTCTAGCCCCAGCTTCTGCTAACCTAGCAGTTCGAAAACATGCAAATGTGAGTAGATCAATAAGTACCACACTGGCAAGAAGGTAACAGTGTTCCATGCAGTCATGCCGGCCACATGATCTTGGAGGTGTCTACGGACAACACCGGCTCTTTGGCTTAGAAAAGGAGATGAGCACCAACCCCCAGAGTCGGACATGATTGGACTTAATGTCAGGGGAAAACCTTTTACCTTTACCTTATATATAAAAAACTTATTACATAACAGCATATTTGATATTTCAGTAATTAACAATAACATACTATTTCCTATATACTCTGTTATATAGATACTTGTGTTCTTAGTAACTTGCAGCTTCAAAGCCTGGCTGCTTCCTGCCTGGGGGGATCCTTCGTTGGGAGGTGTTAGCTGGCCCTGATTGATTCTTGTTGGGAATTTCCCTGGTTGTTTATTTTTTTAAGTGTGGCTCTTTATTTATTGTACTGATTTTAGAGGGGGTTTTTTAATACTGGTAGCCAGATTTTGTTGATTTTCATGATTTCCTCCTTTCTGTTGAATAAATAAAGAGCAATCTTTATTGGGATTTGTAATATATGGTGGCACCTGACAGAGACAATACCTCACAAAGCTACCCAGAGCATTGAGCCATGACAATTGAAAGTGGAGGCAAGCTGCCTTTATTCTCTGGTGTAGAATGAATGCAGCCCTCCAACCTGCCTCTCCAGCCCAGCCCTGCCTCCTCCTCCTTTGAGCCAATTCCAGATGTCTCCTCCAAGACCTTAAAGGACCTCTCCGGCTCCTCATCTCCATTTCTGGGAGGGAGGGAAGGGGGGGCGCCTCCCCTTGCAGCAGAGGGTCTGTCTTCAGGGCCTTTCGCAAGGCCATGGGCCCACCCCCCGCCTCCCCTTCCCCTCCTTTCCCCCCGAAGCCGGCGTTGTTTTTGTGAAGGAGAAGAAGATGGGAAGGCCGGCAGCATTTTGCCCTTCAGCCGCATCTGGACGAAGTGGTGAGGGAAGGAAGCCGGTGCTCGCTGCCTAGCTGCAAGCCAACCTTTTGTTTGCACCTCCCTCTTCGGCATTGCACTCACCAAGGTAACAAGAAGAGTCATGCTCCAGCCTGTCGTTCTTGCATTCTTTTCCTCCTCCTCCTCATTTACTTTCCCGTTTTCTTTCTTTCCACAGATCCCTCCTTCCTTCTTCACCTCCTCAATCCTTTTTCCTCATTTTCTTTCCTTCCTCATTTTCCCATTCTTTATTGCCTCTGCTTCCTTTCATTTTTCTTCTTCCCTTCTTCGTTTCCTGTCTTTCCTTTCCTTCCTTCCTTGTTTTCTTCTTTCCTTTGCTTCCTTTCATCTTTCTTTCCTTCCCTATTTCTTTCTTCCCTTTATTTACTTTCTTTCTTTCCTCATTCCTTATTTCCTATTTCTTTTCTTTGCTTCCTTTCTTCCATTCTTCCATCTTTCTTTCCTCATTTTCTTCTTTTTTTCCCCTTCCTTGTTTTCTCTTTTCTTACTTCCTTACTCATTTCCCTCCTTTCCTTATTCCCTTTGCTTACCTCTATCTCTCTTTCCTTCCATCATTCCTCATTTACTTCCTTGCTGCTTTCTTTCCTTCCTTCTTCCAGTCCCCATTCCCTTTCTTTCCTTCCTTCATTTCCTCTTTCCTTATTTCTTATTTCCTTTCTTTCCTTATTTCCCTTGCTTCCTTCAATCTCTCTTTCTTTTTGTCATTCCTCATTTACTTCCTTGTTGCTTTCTTTCCTTCCTTCCTTCTTCCCGTCCTCATTCCCTTTCTTTTTTCTTTCCTTCCTCATTTGTCTTCCCTTCCTTCCTCATTCCCTCTTCCCTTATTTCCTGATGCATTTCCTTTCTTTCCTTATTTCCTTTGCTTGCATTATTTTTTTTCTATCCTTCCCTATTTCCTTCTTCCCTTCATCATTTCCTTTCTTTCATTTCCTTTCTCATTTCCTTTCCTCTTTCCTGTTTCATCTCTTTTCTTATTTCCTTTGCTTTCTTTCTTTTCTTCATTTCCTCTTTCCTTATTTCCTATCTCATTTCCTTTCTTTCCTTATTCCCTTTGCTTCCTTCTATTTTTCTTTCTTTCCTCATTTCCTTCCTTCCCTATTTCCTTTCCCCCCTCCTCATTTCCTTCTTTTCTTTCTTTTTGCCTACCTGCCTCCAAATGGCTTTTATTCCCCCAGCAGCCCAATCTGTTCATTGGTTGAACCTCCTTGATTTAGTTATTGTTTTGATCCCTCCACCCATCATCATTGCTATCTTCCAATCTTTCATCTTTTATTGTTATTGTTATTGTTATTGTAGACTGAGTCTTGTCTGAAATGCTTGGGACTAGAAGCGTGTTAGATTTCGGATTTTAAAATATCTGTATTTGTATGAGATACTTTGCAGATAGGACCCAGCATTAAATTCATTGATGTTCCTTTATATACCTCATTGCTTGGAGATAATTTTCAGCCCAATACGGTAATTGTATGTATGGAACACAGTTGGGAGCACATTGAAACAGAGGTGGCCCTGTCTCAGGGCTTGTCTGCACTATAGAATTAATGCAGCTTTACATCACTTTTAACTGCTGTGGCATCATGGGAGTTGTAGTTTGGCAGTGCACCAACACTATTTATCTGAGAAGGCGAAATACATTGTAAAACTAGTAAACTACCACTCCTGAGCATTTTGGGGTTCTGCAGAAAGGACACTCAACCTGTACTATTCCTGTGTGCCTTTGAGTCATCTATGACCAATGACCATTGAGTTTCCTTGGCAAGATTTATTCACGGGAGGTTTGCCCTTGTCCCTCGTCCAAGGCTGAGAGTGTGTGTAACTCAACCAAGGTCAGAAACAGGTTGCTATGGAACTTCAAGCCATGGTCTCCAGAACAACTGAACAATTGAATGCAAAACAGTGGCACTGCATCGCAACCAAGGGGTATTATTATGAACAAATTGGAGGAGGAGGAGGAGGAGGAGGAGGATAAGGATGATGAGAATGAGAGGAAGAGGATAATGGGGGAGATGAGAGAAGGAAGAGGGTGATAAGGATGAGAGGATGATGAGAATGTTGATAACGATGAAAGCAATGGAGAACTATTATGATGGGAGGATGATGGGAATGATGATGAGCAAAGTGTAGGAGAAAGAGAGGTTGATAAGAATGCTCAAAATGAGAGAATGGAGCAGGGGGATGGTGATGATGAGAGGATATGGATGGTGATGAGGATGTTGATAAGAATGAAAGGAGGAGGAGGAAGATAATGATGGGGATGTTGATGAGGGGATAAGGATGAGAGGATGATGAGAATGGTGATGATGAGAGGAATAGAAGAGAATGGTGATGAGAGGATGAGAATAATGATGAGAGCAAAGTGGAGGAGGACAGGATGATAAGAATGTTCAGGATGAGAGTGAGGAGGAAGAGGATGTTGATAATGGTGGTGAGAGGATGATGATGATGGAAATGAAAGGAGGAGGAGGAAGATAATAATGAAGGGGATGTTGATGAGGGTGATAAAGATGAGGGGATGATGAGAATGTTGATGATGAGAGCAATGGAAGAATGGTGATGAGAATGATGAGAGCAAAGTGAAGGAGGAGAAGAGGATGCTCAGGATGAGAGTGAGGAGGAGGATGGTGATGAGAAGATGTTGATGAGAATGAAAGGAGGAGGAGGGAGATAATAATGAAGGGGATGTTGATGGGGGTGATAAGGATGAGAGGATGATGAGAACAAGGATGATGAGGAGAATTGTGATGGGAATGATGATGGGAGGATAAGAACATGATGAGAGGATGAGAAGACTGAGCCTCCACTGCACTCCAGAGCAGAGAGTTCCACTGCTGAATAGCTACTGTAGTCAGAAAGTTCTTCCTAATGTTCAGGTGGAATCTCCTTTCCTGTAGTTTGAAGCCATTGTTCTCCATCCTAGTCTTCTGGGCAGCAGAAAACAAGCTTGCTCGCTTCTCCCTGTGACTTCCCCTCACATATTTACCTAAACATTGCCATCATGTCTCCTCTCAGCCCTCTCTTGGTGATGATGAGAGGATGGTGATGAGAGGATGATGGTGATAAGAATGAGGAGTAGGAGGATAATGAGGAGGGGATGTTGATGAGGGTGATAAGGATGAGAGAATGAAGAAAATGGTGATGAGAACAAAGTGGAGGAGGATGGTGATGGCAACATGACAGGAATGATCTTGAGAGGATGAAGATGATGAGATGAGAGGATGAAGAGGGGGATGATCAGGATGAGCAAAGTGGAGGATGATGGTGATGAGAGGATGATGGTGATGAGAATGAGAGGAGGGGAATAATGAGGGAATGTTGATGAGGGTGATAAGGATGAGAATGGTGATAAAGTGGAAGGGGAGAGGATGAGGATGGTGAAGACAACATGATGGGAATGATTATGAGAGGATGAGGATGAAAAGATGATGAGAATGATGATGAGAACAAGGTCGTGGAGGAGGATAGGATGAAGATAGTGATAACAATGGGAACGATGAGAGGATGAAGATAAAGATGAGAGGATGATGAGAATGATGATGGTGAGAGCAAAGTGGAGATGAGGATGGTGATGACAACATGGGAATGATGACGAGAGAATGAGGATGATCAGGAGAAGAGATGATTAAAATGATATGAGAACAAGGTGGTAGTGGAGGAGAGGATGAGGATGGTGATGACAACATGATGAGAGGATGATAAGGTTGAGAAGATGATAAGAATGATGATGATGAGAACAAAGTGGAGGAGATGATGAGGATGGTGATGACAACATGATGGGAATGATCATGAGAAGAAGAAGAGGATAAGAATGATGATGAGAACAAAGTAGAGGAGGAGGAAGAGATGATGAGGATGAGGATGACAACACGATGGGAATGATGATGAGAGGATGAAGATGAGGATTATTAGAATGGTGATGGTGGGAGCAAAGTGGAGGAGGAGGAGATGATGACGATGGTGATGACAATATGATGGGAATGCTCATGAGAAGAAGAAAATGAGGATGATAAGAATGATGATGGTGATGATGAGAACAAAGTGGAGGAGATGAGGATGATGATGACATGATGGGAATGATGATGAGGGGATGAAGATGAGGATGATGAGAATGGTGATGGTGAGAGCAACGTGGAGGAGTAGTAGAGGATGAGGATGGTGATGACAATATGATGGGAATGATGATGAGAGGATGAGAATGAGAAGATGATGAGAATGATGATGAGAACAAGTTCGTGGAGGAGGATAGGATGAAGATAGTGATAACAATGGGAACGATGAGAGGATGAAGATAAAGATGAGAGGATGATGAGAATGATGATGGTGAGAGCAAAGTGGAGAAGAAGGAGAGGGTGAGGATGGTGATGACAACATGATGGGAATGATCATGAGAAGAAGAGGATAAGGATGATGATGCTGAGAACAAAGTAGAGGAGGATGGTGATGAGCGGATGATGATGAGGATGATGTTGATGCCGCCCCCTCCTCTCCTCCTCGTTTCCTTGCCGCTCCCTGCAGTTGCGCAGAGGAGGCAGCAGGGGGCGCGGGGGAGAAGGCAGCTTGGCAAGGGCATCCTCCTCCTGCTCTTCTCCTCTTGGGTCCCTTTAATGCCGCAGTCCGTCGGGCGAGGGACCCCGCTCTGGAGGAGGATGCCTCGGATCCCCTTGGCTGGCCGGGCCCGCCTCCCCTTCCTCCTTCCCGGGCTCCTCTCCACCTCCTCCTCCTCCCGCTTTCCCCTTTTCTCTCCCCTCCAGGCTGAGCCCCCCGCGGCGGATCCGAGGCCGGCCCCGCTCCGCCGCCGCCGCTTATGCAACACATCATCGAGAACCACCCGGACATGGCCACGGCGCTGCTGGCGGGCGAGAAACTCAAGGAGCTGATCCTGCCGGGCGCGCAGGACGACAAGGCGGGCGGCTCCCTGGCCGCGCTGCTCCTCCAGCTCAAACTCGAGCTGCCCTTCGACCGCGTGGTCACCATCGGCACCGTCCTCATCCCCATCCTCCTCGTCACCCTCGTCTTCACCAAGAACTTCGCCGGTAAGCCCACCACCCACCGCCTCTGGCCTCTCCTCGGGGACTGCCACTCCCAGGAGCCTTTGCTACCGAGGCAGGCGGGCAGGGATCCTGGGAAATGAAGTCCGAGGCGCCTCAGGGACCCCAGGGTGGGGGAGAAAGAACACTGCAGGAGAGCAGGGGTGGCTTCACCTGTTGATGGGAAAGGGATTCAGAAGAGCAGGAGTGAGCATTGTGATACTAAGCCAGGCATGGGCAAATTCGAGAGATGTGGCAGCAGCCCATTGGCTGACTGTGCCAGGGGCAGGGGTTCTGATTGGATGCTGCCTCTGGCTAGTCCTGAGGCCAACGGTTCTAACTGTCATTCTGCTTTTTAATAATAATAATAAAACTTTATTTATACCCCGCCACCATCTCCCCAAGGGACTCGGAGAGGCTTACATGAGGCCAAGCCTAACAACACATCAAAAACAACAAGCAATAAGAAACAACAAGCAGTCAACAAAATAAACAATATAATTAGTACAACTCACAGGTAGATAATGACAACAGAAATTTAAAAACCTATGGCTGCCTCTGGCTAGCTCCCAAGGCCAACGGTTCTAACTGTCATTCTGCTTTTTAATAATAATAATAAAATTTTATTTATACCCCGCCACCGGTGTGCAGTGGGTTAAACCCCTGTGCCAACAGGACTGAAAACCAACAGGTCGCAGGTTCAAATCCGGGGAGAGGCAGATGAGCTCCCTCTATTAGCTCCAGCTCCTCATGCGGGGACATGAGAGAAGCCACCCACAAGGATGATAAAAACATCAAATCATCCAGGCGTCCCCTGGGCAACGTCCTTGCAGAGGGCGAATTCTCTCACACCAGAAGCAACTTGCAGTTTCTCAAGTTGCTCCTGACACAACAAAAAAAACCCCAAAACCTCGCCACCATCTCCCCAAGGGACTCAGAGCGGCTTACATGAGGCGAAGCCCAACAACACATCAAAAACAACAAGCAATAAGAAACAACAAGCAGTCAACAAAATAAACAACATAATTAGTACAACTCACAGGTAGATAATGACAACAGAAATTTAAAAACCTATGGCTGCCTCTGGCTAGCTCCTGAGGCCAACGGTTCTAACTGTCATTCTGCTTTTTAATAATAATAATAATAATAATAATAAAACTTTATTTATACCCCACCACCATCTCCCCAAGAGACTCGGAGCGGCTTACATGAGGCCAAGCTCAACAACACATCAGAAACAAAATGCAATAATAAACAACAAGCAGTAAACAAAATAAACAATACAATTAGTATAACTCATAGGTAGATAATAACAACAGAAATTTAAAAACCTATGGCTGCCTCTGGCAAGCTCCTGAGGCCAACGGTTCTAAGTGTCATTCTGCTTTTTAATAATAATAATAATCTCCCAAAGGGGACTCGGGGAGGATAACATGAGGCCAAGCCCAAACATACAACACAACTGAGTAAAATACAAAATACAGACAACAAAATTACATCAGAATAAAATAATACAATAACAATAAGATAAATAAAACAAATAAACATGTTATAAAATCGAACACAATGGGCAGGCTGAATGGGCAAGGTAACATGATAAAACCCTGGATGAGGGTAGGAGTGGGGTGGGGGGGGTGTGTAATTGAGAGGAGCCCAAAAAGGATGAACAGTGGGATTAGTCTTTCAGTTTAGGAAGGGGGAAAGTGCATCATAGGGGCAACATTGTGGATGGAACAAACAGAAATTGGTTTGATCATTTTAAGGCATGAGGCTTATTTCAAAGAGTATTTTAAAAGGGCTATTTTATTCCTCCGATCTCTGCTTGTATTCAAAGAGACCCACACACACACACATATATTTACCATGTTTGTTATTTGTTTCACAAGCGTGAGTGACATTTTATTATACAGAAGGATATATCTTGGTTTAAATACTGTGGTAAAGCTTCTGCTTATACACATTTACCAATCCTCACATCTCAGCCTCCTTCCTTTTCCCCGTCAGCCGCTTAAGCGGCTGACGGGGAAAAGGAAAGGGCCTGAGGCTGTTAGGAATGGTGGCAGTTGAAGTCCAAAACACCTGGAGAAAGGCCCGAGTTTGCCCAGGCCTGGTCTGGATCTAAGCAAGTCATAGTCTCACTCTACTCTCATCAGGACTATTGACCAATCCTAGGCACCACAGTTCATGAAGGATATTCAGATACTGAAACATGACCCAAATAATCCAAGGCCTGGACTCCAAGCTCTGCGAGGAACAGCTTAGGGAGCTGAGGATGTATACCTTGAAGAAGAGAAGGTTGAGAGCAGACATGATAGCCACTGTGTTGTCAAAGGCATTCATGGCTGGAATTGCTGGGTTGCTGTGAGTTTTCCAGGCTGCATGACTATTTTCCAGAAGCATTCTCTCCTGACGTTCTGCCCACATCTATGGCAGACATCCTCAGAGGTCTGAGGTCTGTTTAAAACTAGGCAAGTAGGGTTTATATATCAGTGGAATGCCAGGGTGGGAGAAAGAATTCTTGTCTGCTTGAAGCAGGTGTGACCGTTGCATCTTGATTAGTATTAAATAGCATTGCAGCTTCAAGGTTTGGCTGCTTCCTGCCTGGGGGAATACTTTGTTGGGAAGTTTTAGTTGGCCCTGATTATTTCATGTTGGGAATTCCTCTGTTTTCTGAGTGTTGTTCTTTATTTAAATTTGTTTAAATACTGGTAGCCCAGTTTTGTTCATTTTCATTCTTTTCTCCTTTCTCTCAAAATTGTCCACATGCTACACAGAGAAGCCACTGAAATCCGCAAACATGTGGACAATTTCAACAGAAAGGAGAAAAGCATGAAAATGAACAAAATCTGGCTATCAGTTTAAAACAAAAACAAAAACCTCTAAAATCAGCTCACATAATATTCCATTATTGTATCTGGATGAAGGTGTGGATATAGCAGTTGAAGTACAACTCCTGAGAAAAGTAATTTTTCAAAGATCTGAGACAGAGGGCCACAAGTTAGATTTTGTTAGATTTTAGCCATTCTTGTAAGCCGCTCCGAGCCCCAGGGGAGTGGCGGCATATAAGTCCAAATAAATAAATAAGTTTACCATCTCGGTTGTTAGGATTACAAAGTACTCTGAACCCTAAAGGCTTGTATCCATGTTCTTCATTATTTATTTGTTTGTTTATTCATATTGGGAAGGATATGTTCAGACAACATACTAAAAATAAGGCATTGTTGAGAAAAGGTTGAGTGGCGAACATAAGGGTATTGTTTTGGCACGATGGGTCTTATAGGAGTTGGTAAATCTGCAGTCTCCTGTCCATCGGAGTCAATGGATTTCATGCCTTTAACTTTGGTGGAGAGACCATTGATGAAGGGGTATCGAAACTTTGACCCCAGAGCAACTCTTGCTCCCATGTGTATTGTTCTGTCCTTCCATTTCAGTCTTCATAAGCAGCAAATCAACACACAACAAGCCCTCTTTAAATACCTTCTCTCTGGTATAGAATTGAGAGACCTGTAGCCCTCCAAGTGTTGTTAGACTGCAGTTCTCACCAGACCCTGTGAAATCATGCTGAGAAATGGATGGAATACATAGTTCAACATCAAGAGAGCCCTGGATTGGTTCTCCAATCCTGATCCTGCAGAAGCTGGTGGCAGCAGTGTCAGTCTGCTCTATGTTTCAGTTTGAAATTGACCGGTGATTCTCAACCTGTGGGTCCCCAGGTGTTTTGGCTTACAACTAACAGAAATCCCAGCTACTTTACCAGCTGTTAAGATTTCTGGTAGTTGAAGGTCAAAACACATGGGGACCCACAAGTTGAGAACCACTCTGAACTCTCCGTGGTGCTGAATCCAGTTCTCAAACAGGTTCAACAGTTTGACTAGTTTCTCCAAAGTTCTGATTTAAGACAAGAGTCGATTCACTACTCCATTGACTTTGAAGCTACCAGTATCTACTGTCCTGAGCTGACCTTTTCTTGAAACTCATGGCCAGATTGTCATTGTAACCATGTGACATGCATTTGTTGCCATTCTCCTTAGAAATTGTTGCACTCCAGACCAGGAAAAGCCCTCTGACTTTAAACACCACACAGTTGAGAAAAATGCAATCCGTTTATTGAAGATAATTGAAAAGCAGTAAAAGTAAAAAGCACTTTAAAGGAATAGGTAAATCCAATTCGGTAGGAAGATAAGCCAGAACAAAATAGTCCCAAGGAATTAGTCCATCAAAGTTCATGAAAAACAAAGGCAGAAACTTCTAATATTTCATATTCCTGCTTCATTACATATTGTCCAATCACCCAGTGCTGACCCTTCACCCCGGACCAGCCAATTACCATACTTATTTCCAAAAATCAGTTGTTTCTATTACAGATTTGGTCCCCTTACCTTCTATATATACATATTCTATCAATTTCCCCCAAATCTTCCCAAAATCATCTTTTTTTGATAATCCTCTTTTAACCTTAATGTTTCCTGTCAGTTTATTGTTTATTGCGATGTCCCAGATCTCCCTATACCACTCTTCCAATTGGCACTCCCCTCCTTCTTTCCATTTTTTAGCTATTAACAATCTTGCTGCTGTTACCAGATTGGCAATTAATTCTTTCAGTTCTTTTGGTATTTTAACATTATCAATAAATGACAGCAGTGCTATCTCCGGTGTACCTGTTATCTCTATTTGGGTGATTCTTCTTATTTCTTGAAATACATTTTTCCAAAAATTTTGAACAAATTTGCAAGACCACCACATGTGTATTATATATGTGCCAGTTTCTTGACAGCCCCTCCAGCACTACTTAGAATGTTTCTTGTCAATTTGGTTTAATCTAATTGGTGTGAGGTACCATCTCCACACCACTTTGTAATAATTCTCTTTTATTCTTATTGACATATTTTTTAATATATGCATATTCCACATTCCTTTCCAGTTTTGTAGGTGTATTACTTTATTACAATCTAACTCCCATATTCTTTTGAGATGGTCCTGCTCCTTGACTCCTTCCAACAGCATTT